GAAAGTACACGAGACAGAAGGTTGTGGATAACCATGACTACCAACGCCACACATCATGGACTTTAGGAAGAAAAATTATACATCATTGCCAGTTGGCTGTTTTACTGGTTAGTGGCAGCCGAGTTAGATCACCGAACGATTTTAACCGTTTTTGCTGCAATTTAATTAACTCTAAAAATAAACTTGTGGGTTGGTTTTCTAAAATTTCTAAATTCAGCGTTTTCGACAACCCAATCCTTCTACTCTTTTGATTTTTCCGTTTTCGATCTTAAAATTGTAGCAACATTTGGAAAAATGTTGCTACAATTTTAAGATCGAAAACGGAAAAATCAATTTTTTTTTTTTTAAATCCTAATTAAAACAAAAACACAAAGGTGGTAATGGATGGGACATGAGTTTTGGCAATTTTATCATTTCCAGAGTTTGTTTATCAGTAACTTACATTTTTAACGTCTTGTATACGTGATATTAAAACCTGGTTTGCCCAGGAAAAGATGATTTTGTTATGTTCACTTCTATTTATGTTGTAACAGACATTATTGCACTTTTTTCTTTCTGTTTGTCATGAAGTGTCAGATGACGTGTATGCTCTAATCCTTCTTAGCTGCATAGCGGCTGTTTACAAATCTGTTGGCATCTTCCTTCATCAGGTGGTAGTAGCCTTACCACTTTATTAGCCAGTTTGTTGGCCATTTAGTAGTCAGATATGTTGCAATGAGATGGAATTCGCTGTATTACAAATCTCTTGGAACTATTTCGACTGCTAATGCTGCACTATTTAGCCTTTTTATATTTAGACAGTTGTCTTCGAATCGTTTTTTTTTTTTCAACAATTTTCCCTGCGCCTTCCAACGTCTGAGCGTTAAAGTTGCTTGAAAATATTCCAGTTAACATTGAACTGATCATTTTATATCAAATATAACAATAACGACAACAAAAACAAAACTATAACAAATCAGACAGCTGTAAATCAAATTACTCTTTATTGGTTGGTGTCTTTTAATTCAACAAACATTGGTAAAGCAGACGACATTTTATCCATAGATTTATCAGTATTTTTAAGACTAATCAATACACAGTGATTTCGTAAAGTTAATCAATACTGCTTATTTATTTTGCTAAAAGTATAGCTGGTGGATATAATATTTAATATTATAGTTCATCCTTACAATTACGCAATAATTTTAAAAGAAACACGCAAAATTATTTGATCATATATAGATAATCACTATACATATTCAATGAAATTAACAACATAGTTAATCAATGTATATCAATACTGTATGAATGAAAATAAGCTAAAGTCACAAACAACAGGCACAATGGGATATAGGCAAAATCTATTTGTAAACATAATGGGCAACTATTGAATTATTGCTTTGGAATAACAATGAACACATCAACAGGGTAAATATTGCACGCGCTTTGCATAATGGATTGCTTCATATACCAGGACATACAGAAAGTAATTTCCCGTTTTATTCTTTTGCGAATAGTGAATATTAAATTATGAAGTCATCAGAAGTACCACTTGTCACTGGGTTAAGAGAGTTAAGGCTTTAGATAGTGGAGAGACAGACCTGGGGATGTCATATGTTGCAAAGGCATGGCTGCCTGGTAAGGACAAAACCTAATACAGGCAAGACATTCATGCATTTTTTTTTTTTTTTTTTTTGTCGTAAGACCATTGACATGGATTGAGATTACAAAGAATTAGAGACTTCATTGTCTGTAATGAGTTATAGTGGCAGTGAATGTATATTTTTTGCAGAAACAGTTTGTTAGGGAACAATAGGAGGCATTACTTTCTGAAAAGTGGCATTGGAGATATAATTTAATGACTAGAATGACAAGCTTTATTATATCACGATTAAGATTTGACTTTAATAACATTTTGCTCACATGAATGAGAATTAAAGCTAGTAATAAACTTTATAGTAAACTAAAAAAAAAGCAGAACAGAGTTAAGAAAAAGAAGAAAAAGTAAGCAGTAAGTGAGTAAATTGTACCCCACCAGGACATCACAGAAGCTATAAACACGCGGTGATCCAAAGTGCCACCATGAGGATGACAAGAGGTCCTTGAAATCCCATTCAGTCGTAGGCCATATTTAAGGCCCCGCTATATTTAGGGCCCCGGCAAAAGCCAGGATGGAGCTTCACATAAAGAAAAATTGCATCCCACAAGTGGACGACTAGGTTTTTTTTTTTTTTAAAGAAAAGAAAGCAACATCACTATACAAACAAAAAAGGAAAACAAAAAAGAGGACAGAAAAGGGGTTAAAAATAGTGCAAATGTAGCATGAAAGATTGAAAGAAAAACATGTAGTTTACATTAATTATAGATGATTACAACAAAGATGTTTGGAAAAGGAGGTGCGGAATATAAGAGAGAGAGAGAGAGAGAGAGAGAGAGAGAGAGAGAGAGAGAGAGAGAGAGAGAGAGAGAGAGAGAGAGAGAGAGAGAGAGAGAACTGGCAGTCTGACAATTATGCAGGCAAATTTATAGAGCAGATAAGAGCAGATAACATGCAAGTTAGCTCGAATTATCATGTTTATCCCCTAAATAAATTGCGCTAAATATGGTTTCTTCTTGCGCGTTCACTTTCAGAAATCAATGCCAACATGGTCTCTTCTTGCTCGTTCACATTCAGACATGAATGCCAACATTGTCTCTTCTTGCTCGTTCACATTCAGACATCAATGCAAACATTGTCTCTTCTTGCTCGTTCACATTCAGACATCAATGCAAACATTGTCTCTTCTTGCTCGTTCACATTCAGACATCAATGCAAACATTGTCTCTTCTTGCTCGTTCACATTCAGACATCAATGCAAACATTGTCTCTTCCTGCTCGTTCACATTCAGACATCAATGCCAACATGGTCTCTTCTTGCTCGTTCACATTCAGACATCAATGCAAACATTGTCTCTTCTTGCTCGTTCACATTCAGACATCAATGCCAACATGGTCTCTTCTTGCTCGTTCATGTTCAGACATCAATGCCAACATGGTCTCTTCTTGCTCGTTCATGTTCAGACAACAGTGTCAACATGGTCTCTTCTTGCTCGTTCATGTTCAGACAACAGTGTCAACATGGTCTCTTCTTGCTAGTTCATGTTCAGACAACAGTGTCAACATGGTCTCTTCTTGCTCGTTCACGTTCAGACATCAGTGCCAACATTGTCTCTTCTTGCTCGTTCACATTCAGACATCACTGCCAACATTGTCTCTTCTTGCTCGTTCACATTCAGACATCAATGCCAACATGGTCTCTTCTTGCTCGTTCACATTCAGACATCAATGCAAACATTGTATCTTCTTGCTCGTTCACATTCAGACATCAATGCCAACATGGTCTCTTCTTGCTCGTTCATGTTCAGACAACAGTGTCAACATGGTCTCTTCTTGCTCGTTCACGTTCAGACATCAATGCAAACATTGTCTCTTCTTGCTCGTTCACATTCAGACATCAATGCCAACATGGTCTCTTCTTGCTCGTTCATGTTCAGACAACAGTGTCAACATGGTCTCTTCTTGCTCGTTCACGTTCAGACATCAGTGCCAACATGGTCTCTTCTTGCGCGTTCACATTCAGACATCAGTGCCAACATGGTCTCTTCTTGCTCGTTCACATTCAGGCATCAATGCCAACATGGTCTCTTCTTGCTCGTTCATGTTCAGACAACAGTGTCAACGTGGTCTTTTCTTGCTCGTTCATGTTCAGACATCAGTGCCAACATGTTATCTTTTTCTTTGTTCATTTTCAAACATCAATGCCAACATAGTCTCTTTTTCCTTGTTCATATTCAGACATAATGCCAGCAGCTCCGTTAAAAGCAGTGGTTAATTTCATGTTTATGACACACATGTATCGCTTCTGTGAAAAAGAGTAGACTGAAGTCATATTTGTTTACGTTTGTCATCATCATTATCAAACATCATCGTTATCAATCATCATCATTATTCATCATGATCATCACCATCATTATCATCAATCATCGTCTTCATGATTATTATGATCGGCATATTTAGTCATCGTCATGATCATCATCAGTCATCTTTATTATCATCACCAAGGTCAACATCATCATCGTCATCATCATCATCAAGTATTATTACCATCATTATCGTCAATCAGCGTCATAATTATCATCGTATTTTGACCACATTCTTGGAGCATGAGAGAGCATAATGAACTATTTTGTCTCTGTGATGGTCATCATGATCATCATTATTCATCATCATCATCGCCATCATCGTCAATCATAAATCATAATCACCTGTTGTTGTTGTTGTTTTTTTTTCAACTAGTTTTTCTCGTATCTGATTTAGGCACGTAGCATTCTAAGATTTAAAATATATTTTTCAACATAAATGTTTTAAAAGTAAACCTAAATATTGAAGATTCGAAAAGGAAGGTTTAATGGAAAGATACTGACGGTAGATATAATATTTATCAAAGAATTTTTAATTGGAGCATGTAATATTTACCAAGAAAGGTGCAGATGTAAGATACCACCATCAGACAATGTGTTATTTGACATAACTTTGTAAGTTTGAAGATGGAAGATTCATCAGGCAAGGTTCAGCTGAAAGATTCATCAAACAATATGATATTTGACATTATAGTTGTAACTAATTTTATACATGTCAGATTCAGATAGGAAGGTTTCACTAAAAGATACCAACGGACAATGTGAGATTTGTCATGAAAGTGGTAACTATATGTTTAAACATGGAAGATTCAACAGGAAAAATTCAGCTGAAAAAAATATTGTCCGACAGTGTGATAATTACCATGAAAATTATGAAGAAACTTATTAATTAATAATTGACAATAGAAAGATTCTATCAAACAAATTGCTATTTAGCACAAAAGTTGTAAGTTAGAACAAGTCCGATTCAACCAGTAAGGTGATTCAGCTGAAATATACTAACCGAAGACGTGATATTTGGCATGATAAAATTAACTGTAAGTTTGAACAAGTCAGATTCATCAAGGAAGGTGGTTTAGCTGAAAGATACCATCAGACGACGTGATCATCGCTAGCTCCTCTTCAATAGAAGCTTCCTGGTTCAGGCCAGGAAAATCATCTGGCAACGCTAAAGCTGAAGGCATGAGGGAACAACTGGTAATACTGTGACCTGGAAGGCAAAAGGAATCTGGTTTCACGACACTGTGATTACACAACATTCTTGTTGTACTTGGCAGTTTGTTCTCATGGCGTGCACCCGCATTGTAGCAAGAACCGGCTGCTGTAACTATGGCTCGGCTCTGTTCTACTTGAGAACTGGAGATAAGATTGTTGCAGGGGTATTCAGCCCGTGCAAAGAGTTGATTTTCTTTGCCGCAACTGTTCTGGGCTGAAACTGACGCAGATAAGCAGGTAGCTAAGTTTGCTGGAACGTGTATGTGTGAGGGCGATGTCTGTATGTTCCGGGTTGTGGACGAAATGACTGGGTTCGAACTTTCTTGTATATCACACGTTAAGAAATTTGGAGGCGAGACGGGGTTGTTTAAACACATAGCTTTGTAAGCCGTATTGCTGTTTGAAAATGGAATACCACGGTGTTCATTCTGAGGGTTGTAATATTGATAGGGTAAGCGGTAGCTAGGCGAGCATGTATTCTGTACAGGCGTATAGGGCATCATTTGCTGACAGCTTCCAAAGTTCTGATGGGGTCCAACGAATGGCAGTTCAGAATTGTAGTCAAGGGGTTGAAAAGGAAACACTGAATAAGGGTCGGGGACAAATCCTTCACCCAGTGTAATAGAATTATCATACATGAACTGGTATGGCTTTGAGTAAGTTGACTCTGGGAGCAATGTTCGTGGATTTAGCCTCAAACATGATGCTACCATGTTCATGGTGTTCTGAGACAGTCCTCTGGACAAAGCCTTGGCGAAGCTGATGCTGTCAGGACGAACACCAGTTTGAAGAATCTCTGCTAGGACATGTATGTAGTTCCTAGCCAGCCGAAGAGTTTCAATCTTGGAGAGTTTCTGGGTTTTGGAGTGACACGGAACGTGGTTTCTCAATTCATCTAAAGCAGAATTTAACCCATGCATACGATTTCTTTCTCTGGCATTGGCTTTAACTCTTCTAACTCGAAGCTTCACTTTTCTTGGTTTTGGCTGAGCTTTCTTCTTTGGTCCTCGTTTCTTTTGTCCATTTTCTGTTGGGCCCTGCCCTTTTTTATTCTTACTTGCAGCTGTATTTGTCATTTCTCGATCGCACTGTGCCGCATTTTCATCTTCGCCCGTCGTTGAGTCAGGTAAGTCGTCAATTTCAGACGAGAACAATTCGTCGTCACCATCTTCATCAAAATCATTGTCATCATCGTCATCATCATCATAGGCATCTGTCAGTTTGTCCGACATAGAATTGGTGTCATCGCTGTCGCTTTTTATAGGCATGCTGATCCCTGTGTGGGGGAGAGAAAAAAAACGAGTTTAAATTATCATCGATAAGCAATAAACGTATTCCAATCAACATAAACCCCTACGCATGTCGTCAATATCAGCTCTTTATATGTGCCTTGAAATACATTATAACAAGGTATCTTCGTTGTCTTGTCAGCAATGTCAAATATCAATCTGAAATTTTCTTCTTCTCGATTGTTCCTTTTCGAGCCTTTCATCTCGCTCAGGCTGCCCCAAAGACACTCTTTGCATTTCAGCAAACTGTTTTTCTAAAAGCATGTCCTGTTCATTTCTTTAGTCAGACCTGTTTCCATCTGGATGAGCTGCCTTAATGTTTTCTTTCCTACTTTCTTCTTTCTATTCTTTATTAACCTTTTTTTTTAACTTCTTTCATTCCTCAAAAGTTTTCTTTAATTCTTTTTCTTCTAACTCTCCTTCTTTCTTCTTTCTTTTATCCTTCTTCTTCTAAATCTCCATCTTTCTTCTTTCTTCAATCCTTCTTCTTCTAACTCTCCTTCTTTCTTCTTTCTTTTATCCTTCTTCTTCTAAATCTCCATCTTTCTTCTTTCTTCAATCCTTCTTCTTCTAACTCTCCTTCTTTCTTCTTTCTTTTATCCTTCTTCTTCTAAATCTCCATCTTTCTTCTTTCTTCAATCCTTCTTCTTCTAACTCTCCTTCTTTCTTCTTTCTTTTATCCTTCTTCTTCTAAATCTCCATCTTTCTTCTTTCTTCAATCCTTCTTCTTCTAACTCTCCTTCTTTCTTCTTTCTTTTATCCTTCTTCTTCTAAATCTCCATCTTTCTTCTTTCTTCAATCCTTCTTCTTCTAACTCTCCTTCTTTCTTCTTTCTTATCTTCTTCTGTTTTTATTCTTTCTTCTTTCTTTTTTCTTATTTTTCTGTCTTCTTTTTTTTTCTGTCTTCTTCTTTGTCTTCTTTATTCTGTCTTCTTCTTCTTCTTCTTCTTCTTCTTCTTCTTCTTCTTCTTCTTCTTCTTCTTCTTCTTCTTCTTCTTCTTCTTCTTCTTCTTCTTCTTCTTCTTCTTCTTCTTCTTCTTCTTCTTCTTCTTCTTCTTATTCTTCTTCTTCTTCTTCTTCTTATGCAAATGCTGCTGCTGCTGTTTGGTCTAATAACTTATCCCAGTAATTGTTAACTTCTTTTTAATTAGTGGGATTTTGCAGTTAAAGATTGGCGTAGACAGTCAAGTCTATATTTACCCTCTCTATTCGCTTCTCATGACAGACCACATAGTTACTAATTGTGGCTCCCAGGTCGACCCAACATTGAGTGGGTACAGGGTACAAGTCCTGAGAAGTAAAGACGGGCGAAGCGATATCGCTGATCTCATCACCCCCACGTATGGATTTGTCTATAAAATGCAGGTCTCACCATATATGCCCAATACGCATAATGACGTGGAGAATTGTTTTTAAAATAATTAAGGGGACACTACTGCTGTCCACCCAGGAGAAGACAGAGACTGAGCTGTCTAGCATCACGTCCGACATGTTTGCCGCCCCGACCGGTGCCTCTACAGCAAATGAATCCCCCATTCTACATGCCCTGGCCGACATAACACTCGAACCGCACATTCGCCAAATATTTTTTTTTTACGCATATGGTGCTAGCCTCATAGTTTAAACGAGCAATCAGCACTCTGACGGTGATTTGGTCAATATCAAACCGGCCACCTTGACTTCAGATGATATTTTCTCAGATTCAGGTCCATTGGGATTCCAGATTAGTTTACAAGCCTCTTTATGACTTTAAACCCAAGATCGCTTCTCGGCCTTTTGGCTAAGATCAAAGTGTAGCTCTGCTGCACTTGGTCTGGCCAGAGGCGTCGGGATCGGTCCCAAACTCATGGGAGTCACTATTCACGGCATGAGCCTAACAATCTCAGAGCCGGGCGGTTTCTCCGTGAGGGGGTTATTGACCCGGCGAAAAAAAAAAATAAACCCAAGACCAGGCAAGCAAGTTAGCAGCTTTGTGACCGATGCTTACTATATAAAGTTGTGTGATATACTCATCTTTCCATTAGGTCCCAGAAAAACGGGCATAACAGTATTAAAAGCACAATAAAGTAGACCTGGAATTCAGTGAAGAAGACGAAGATGGGGGTGGAAACGGCTCCTTTTATTATCTGTCCAACCAGAAGAAGAAAGAGACTAACATGTCTCGGATACTTAATCACGTTCGACATGCCTGTCGCGGCGAACCGTATCTCTGGAGTGAGTTAAGTCCTCCTTTTACGCGCTCACAGTCGAGGCAGTAGGGATGGTCTTTTCCTGCAGTCAAGCCTAGATAAAACACGAGCGGCACAGTCACCATTTGTGCATTCAATATTCTGCTTGTTTCCTGTGTTATCTTAGTGGACATATTTGAAGCCATAAACCAACATGTTGTCACTTCATGTTTCTTTGCTTCTGTTTGTTTTGTTTTAATAAATATGGACTGGAGTATGTGGAGATCCCCGCAAAGCGCTGTTTTCTTGTTGGTGTAGCTTTTCTGCGATAGATGCACACGCTAGACCACAGTGTTTGTTGCCTGGAGATGTTCATGCTGATGTCTGGAATCTTGGCAGACGACACATACTGGATTTGCCAGTCGAGCTTCCGCTATCAAATCTGTCCATTAGCGGCTACGTTTGTAGCCATCATTCCTTGATTTCCTATCAGCGAAAAAATGTTAGGGTCCGGGAGTTGTTATCAACATGGCAAGTAATAAAGTTGTCACTTCTGAACGTCGAATTCCAATCTAAATATTTATAATCGCTGTATGAGCAGACGTCGACTCTGTGGCTAAGTCGATGCGAACGCTTCGTAATGCCGGGATGCCAGGTTCGATCCCAGCTGCGTGTCATGCGCCTTGCGTTAGTTTCTACAGTGGTATCAAGAAAGCCGACCGTCCAGAAAGCAATGGCAAACTATTGCCTAGAAAAACCATACATCAGCCTGGGGCTGTTGGGATTGGTTCTACAACGTCCTGTGAAGGATACGAAACTAACCAAGTATTAGGAGACGGCAGAAATATGTTTGTCGCGGGTGATTGCTGCTTTTCAGTTACAGCAAAAGTATAATGTGACATTCATTTTTTTTTTCAAATTAATTTTGTTTTTTCGATCAACATGAAGTCTATTGGTACATTGCCTTGTGGTTTACTGCTAGGCTGCTATATGTGTGTCTTTCTGTCCAACGTCCAAAGGCAGTAGTTCTATTCTTTTTTTTTTTTTTTTTTTTTAGTCAGAAATGTGGCTCCGGAACCACTTTATTGTTAAGGAACCTACCATATATAAATATATATATATATATATATATATATATATATATATATATATATATATATATATATATATATATATATATATATATATAAAGTCTGCCAATTAAGTAATGAGACTGATTTTAATATGGCCAAGGCAAAAATGCCATCTATGAATCAAAGCATGGAATCCATAGAGGCAACCTTCCGCTATGATCTGGCAACTTTTCATGGCCGCCTGATAAGCAGACAACAAACAAGCCACCATATTGTTAACCCAGTCAGACGTGCATTGTTACGTAATCAGCATGGAGCAAAAAAAAAGGCTGACATTATATTCTGTTTAAAGCTCAGAAAAAGCGCCATTGCGACAGATTTATCACGTGCACAGATTTTCAGCTGGTGTTCACGATTCAAATGTGGTGTGGACATGATTAATAATGCAACTAGACCTGGATGCCCATTTTTTTTTCGTAATGAGGAACTCATTGCAAAATTCCTATAACGGATACAAGGAGATTGTTGTTCGACTGTGAGGATGATGGTAGATTAATATGGTGTTATTACAGTGTTGGTTGGTTAGTTGCGTATCCTTTACAGGGCGTTGCAGAACCAACCCCAACAGCCCCTGGCTGTTGTGTGGTTTTTCTAGGCAAATTTACTTCCAGTAGTGTGCCATTGCCACTGGACGGTCGGCTTTCTTGATACCACTGTCGAAACCAACGGAAGGCGCATGGCCCGCAACTAAAAACGAACCCGGCATCCCGGAGCTTTCGCATCGACTTGGATTGGATTGGCTTTTTACCCCACCAGGACATCACACAAGCGATAAACACCCGATGACACAAAGTGCCACCATGCGGATGAGGATCCCCGTGGAGAGGTCCCAGAAACCGCGTTCAGACATTTGGTCATATTGATGACCTGCCTATATTGCGGCCCCTGGCAAAAGCCAGAGTGGGGCTTCAAATAACAAAAAATAACGTCCTAAGAAGGACGTAAGGAATGTAGTTATCGCATCGACTTAGCCACAGAGCCGACGTTAATACAGAGACTATTTGTAAACTTTTAGTGGAAGATTTGGGCAAGAACAAATTTGCTTGTTGGTTTGTATTCAACACCAGGCAATTTTTTACCTTCTTCATGACAATGCACCAGCTCAAAGGGCAGTAGATGTACATGAATATTTGGGGGGGGGGGCGTGGGGGGAAAATGCGTGTTCTCAATCAGTCACCATATTCCCCAGATTTGTCTCTCTGTGACTATTTTCTCTTCCCAAAATTAAAGTTGTAATTGAAAGGCCGCTTCTTTAACAATATTGGTGACATCCAAACGGGTGTAACATCGACAACAGAAGAACTACAGTGGTCGTTCCAGTATTTGTTATGTCGTGCCACTCGCTGTAAAAGCTGTTGTGGACAAGAGACTTACTGTAAATAAAATGCAGGTTAAATCCCAACTGTTGATTGTTTTAAGTTGTTACGTAATTAGTCTCCTTACTTAATTGTCGGACCTTGTGTGTACATATATATGTATGTTGGGTACCATATGCTTGAATTGCGGCTTCAGCGGTTGAGATGTTGGAAGTCCCACTCGTAATTCAAACCTACCGCAATCGAAACCCACTGCTGGCTGCGTCGATTTTTTTTTATGGTCCGAAACGTTGCAGGTCGACCCAGCCTAAAAAGGGTACCAGGATGTATGTCCTGGGGAAGTAAAGACCACAATATCCACC